TAAAATGCAATCCTAAAAAGGAACTTTTAATATTAATTCAGAAAAATGATATCAACTGATTTTCAAAGTTCTCATCCATACATTTCAAGAGCTAGTTTTTGGTGAAAATATATTGGTGAGCTAGCTAGTCCATAGCATGTTGTAAGGCAAAACCAAAAGGCCAAAGTTCTCATGGTTCGAATCCACCTCGTGCTCCTGAGAAGAAAGATGGGCAATCTGCTCTGGTTAAGATTTGTTATTATTGTTGTTATGTGTCGTTGAGTCGCCTGTGACTCATAGCAACCCTATGTACAATGGCCCTAAACCCTTCCAATCTCACTGTCTCTGACACACCCACCCCCATTACTCCAGTCACTGTATCAATCCACCTCATAGAGGGTCTTTCCCTGCTGTGCTATCCCTCCACCCTCCCAAAAATGATGTCCCTCTTCAAGGACTGGTTCCTCCTTGCAACATGTCCAAAGTATGTCGGATGAAGCCTCAGAATCTTTGCATCCAAGGAGCAGCCTGGTTTAACCCTCTCCAGGGTGAACCTGTTTGTTCTCTTAGCAGTCCATGCGATACTCTTCTCCAGAACCACAGCTCAAAGATTTACAGACTCAGAAATCTGATGGAAGGTCACTATCAATTGGTATGAGTTTTGACTGAGTTATATAACAGAGATACAAGTAGATGTTGTTAATGAACAGACATTTATTCTATTATAGTTTAAGAGAGAGATACTCTCATTGATTGTTAGTTGAACTTTCTTTGGGTTTTCAAGGCTGTAAATTACACAGAAGAGATTGTATATCTTTCTCCTGTGGAGCAGCTGGTAGATCTGGACCTTCAGAGAGGCAGAGTCCATGGTGGATACCTTAACTTCCCATAAACTCTGCCACCAGAGCTTCCTTTTGGAAGACTTCTTGATATATACCATCGATGTGAAATTGACTCATAGCTGACAGTCCAGTGTAGTGTGAGAGGCAGTAAATAGCACAGAAGGAGATTGCTCAATTGTCTCCCGCTTTGTTGTTATATGACATTGAGTTGCTTGAGACTCTTTGTGACTCGATACACAACAGTTCTGAAGGCTGTCCTAACCTGTCTCAGTCTCACTGTCTCTTACACTTTCAACCCCATTATCCTAGCTATTGAGTCAATACATCCCTTCTAGGATTTCCCTCTCTTGCACTGTCCCTCCACTCTTCCCAGCCTGATGTCCTTCTCTAAGGACTGGTCCTTCCAGACAACATGCCCAAAGTATGTGAAACAGAGCTTCAAAATCCCTGCCTCTAAGGAGCAACTTGATTTAACGCTCTCCAAGACAGATCTGTTTGTTTTATTGGCAGTCCATGGAATGTTCAAGACTTTTCTCCAGCACCATAACTCAAAGACTTCAATCCCTCTTCTGTAATTCTTAGTCACTATACAGTTCTATGATGCATAGCAAGTAATTGCAAAGATCATAGCCTGGACAAGGAGCATCTTAGTCTCTAGACTGACATCATTGCTCTTTAGGACTCTGGAGAGGTACACACACACACACACACACGTCAGTTTAGAGACAAATGTGTATATAACTATAAGATTTTCATTTGCTTCTTATGCATGTAGAATTTGAACAATAAATAGAGAAGAACAAAGAACTGTACACACACACACACACACACACACACACACACATCAATATCAAACTAGTCATTGCTGTCAAGTTGGAACCAAGTGATAGCTTGGGTACTTTAGAAGATTTATAGAGCCTATATCACAAGAAGAGCGTGCCCATCTTTCACCCACAAAGCGACTAGTGGATTTGAGCCACCAGAGAGAAGTGGCCTTTTAGCTAGCAGCAAAGTTCTTTACAGACTATGCCATCATGTGTGTGTACGCACACATACCAGTTACACACCAGTTATAGTGTAATATACATATATATTTGTTGTTGCTGTTAGTGCCATTGAATCACTTGTGACTCATAGCAACCTTGTGTACAACAGCTCTGAAACCTACTCTATCTTGACCCAACCTTATTTTCTCTGACACATCTACCCCTATTACCACAATCACTGAGTCAATCCATTTCATCAAGGGTCTTCCTCTCTTTCCCTGTCTCTCCACGCTCCCAAGCATGATGTCCCTCTCCAAGGACAAATCCCTCCTTGCAATATGCCCTAAGTATGTCGGATGGAACTTTGAAGCCCTTGGCTCCAAGGAGCAGCCTGAATTCACCTACTCCAGGATGAAACTGCTTGTTCTCTGAACAGTCCATAATGTAATTGGTACTCTTCTCCAGCATCACAACTCAAAAGCATCAATCTCTTTCTATCATCCTTACTCATTGTCTAGCTTTCTGATGCATAGCAAGTAACTGCAAAGTCCAGGGCATGGATCAGGAGCACTTTAGTCCCCAGACTGACATTGTTGCTCTTCAGTACTATGGAGATTTTCCCAATGCAATTCATCTTTTAATTCCCTGGCTGCTAGTGCCAAGAGTCTTGATTGTGGAGCCTAGCAAACTGAAGCTGTTGACAATCTCAATCTTTTCACCATCTATCATGACATTTCCAATTGGCCCAGTTGTGAGAATCTTTGTTTTCTTGATGTTGAGCTTCAATCCATATTGAAGGCTGCAGTCCTTGACTTTCTACAGCAAATGCTTTTGGTCCTCTATAGTATTGGCAAGCAATTTGTGTCGTTTTCATAATGCAGGTTGTTGATGAGTCTTCATCTAAACCTGATGCCACATTGTTCCTCGTAGAGCCCAGCCTTTCCGATGAGCTGCTATGTATATATATTGGAAAAAGTATGGGAGTAGCATCTATCTGTCATCTATATCTATCTATCTATCTATCTATCTATCTATCTATCTATCTATCTATCTATCTATCTATCTAGTTGTTTGTTGTTAAGTTGCTGTTGATTACCACTCGTAGTAATCCTATAAACAACAGATTTGAACCTTGTCCTATCTTGTACCATCCTCACAATCTCTGACACACTCAAGCTAGTTATTACTCACACACACACACACACACACACACACACACGCGGCTTTTTAGCAAGAAGCTGAACTGCAATCCTGAAGGCCCATGTCTGCTCTGTGGGCAAAAGATGGACAATTTTCTCCCATGCAATTAACTCTCTAAAAATTTGCCAGAGGTTCAACTATGGGTGATGCTAGCTCTGCAGTGCACATCAACAACAAACATATCCACATTCATTGCCTGCAAGTCAGAATAGCTTTAACACTGATTATCCAATGGGTTTTTAGGAGGTTGTAAATCACACATGTCGAGATTATTCATCTTTCTCCCACTGAGTCACTGAAGGATTTGAACTGACAGAGAAATGCCACCTTTGGGCTACCAGAGCTCCCTGCTTTATATTTTCCATAGTAAATAGGGAGCTCTGGTGGCCTAGTGATAAGGAGATGTGCTGCCAATCCGAAAGCATGCAGTTCAAATCC